AAATGGGTCAAGGATCTAGGAATTAAACCAGAGACTCTGCATCTAATAGAAGAAAAAGTAGGCCCTATACTCCATCACATGGGACTAGGCCCCAACTTCCTTAATAAGATGCCTATAGCATAAGAATTAAAACCAAGAATCAACAAATGGGATGGATTCAAACTAAAAAGTTTTTTTCTCAGCAAAAGAAATAATATTTGAGGTGAATAGGTACCCTACATCCTGGGAACAAATTTTTATCCCTCAAACATCAGATTGAGCTCTAATCTCTAGGGTATATAAAGGGCTCAACAAGATAAGCACCAAAAAAACAAATAATCCAATCAATAAATGGGCCAAGGACCTGAACAGACACTTTCAGAAGAGGATATACAATCAATCAACAAATACATGAAAAAATGCTCGTCATCTCTAGCAATCAGAGAAATGCAAATTAAAACTACTCTAAGATACCATCTCACTCTAGTAAGAATGGCAGCCACTATGAAGACAAACAACAACAAGTGCTGGCGAGGATGCAGGGGAAAAGGTACACTCGTAAACTGCTGGTGGGACTGAAAATTGGTGCAGCCAATTTGGAAAGCAGTATGGAGATTCCTTGGAAATCTGGGAATGGAACCACCATTTGACCCAGCTATTCCTCTTCTTGGACTATACCCAGAGGACCTAAAAACAGCATACTACAGGGACACAGCCACATCAATGTTTATAGCAGCACAATTCACAATAGCTAAACTGTGGAGCCAACCTAGATGTCCTTCAATGGATGAATGGATAAAAAAAATGTGGCATTTATACACAATGGAATATTACTCAGCACTAAAAAACAATAAGATAATGGCATTTGCAGGGAAATGGATGGCATTAGAGCAGATTATGCTAAGTGAAGTTAGCCAATCCCAAAAAGACAAATGCCTAATGTCTTTTCTAATATAAAGGGGGTGACTCAAAATGGGGGTAGGGAGGCAGATCATGGGAGGAAGATTACCTCTAGATAGGGAAGAGGGGTGGGAGGGAAAGGGAGGGAGAAGGGGAATTGCATGGATGGTAGAAGGAGACCCTCATCATTATACAAAATACTGTATGAAGATGTGAATTTGGTGTCAACATATCTTATATACACAGATATGGTAAATTGTGGTATAAAGGTGTATTAAGAATTATAGTGCAAATAATAATAATAATAATAATAATAATAGAGCTCATGTAAAAAATAAATAAATAAAAATTTAAAAAAATAAAATAAATTAAAAGTATGTGTTTATTTACAACTAAAAAAAGAAAGATTGTATTCTACAGTCTTTATAGAATACAATTCTAAAATTGTATTCTATAATTCATTGTCTTAGTAACAAACTTCTGCAATTTACATGATAATTCTCAATGGTTATTGGCAGAATAGGTAGGGGTAAGTGCAGGCTCATTACCAATGATGCCTTAAAAGCAAGAGCACAGATGATGGTCCAATGCCAAAGAAAGATCTTTGGGGCATACAATATGCTGTTATTTTCATAGTTGAAATATGGATTGTAATTTGGTCATTGAGTAAATCTGACATCTTATTAAAGCATTGCACAATTAAATATTTTAATTTGCTTGCTAAAAAATGAAAATAGTTTCTCTATAATGCAAAGTATTATAATACCTTTATAGGTATTATTTTAACAATCTACTTAAATAATAATTTGTGTTCAGGTTTTTAGTCAATCCAGAGTTTATTTGTATTTGGTATGAGGTATAAATCTAAATTCAACTTTATAAATATAATTATGTGTGTGTGTATGAATTTTTGCCATCATTTATTAACCCGTACTATTTCCAGTGATGAGATACTTCTATCAGATATCAGTTTTTTATACTTCTCTTTTTTCCCTTAGAAACACTACTGTTTTATTCTTAAACCATACTGTGATTTTATTTAGTGTAACTTCATAATATTTCTTAATAATTTTTATTGTTGGTGTCTCCTCTTCCCTTTTATAGAAGTTTTAGACATTCATAAAACTTTAATTTTCCAAATACTGTGTTTGTGTGTGTTTTTGTGTGCACACTTGTGCATGTGTGGTGTGGATTGAACCCAGATTCTTGAACATGCTCAGCCAGTGCTCTATCACTAAGTTACAACCTCAGCTCCAAAATACATCTTAGAGTCAGTACTCAAGAATTAAATTTCTGGAAACTGATTATACAAATAAATAAATATATGTATGTTTATATACATATACATAACTTGGCAATTAAAAATTATGTGTATTCTCCCATGATTTCTTTGTGAGTAACTTTGTCTTTTTTTAGAGTCTAAAAATCTTCCTTGCAAAGGTCTTATCTGACTACAGAATAATTTCAGTGTATCATTCTCTGTTATCTCCCTTCTTGTAACATGGTTTAATGTATTATTGTTGATTTTCAGCAATATTATTTATTTTTGTATGTTGACATTGCATTGGGAACTTCTTTTGGATTCACCTGTTGTTGTTGTGATTGAAATGTGTACAGGAGTTTTAGTGGAAATTAGTGCCATTACAATAATGGCATGGATATTATCAAAGAGCCAAAGTAAAATTGTGCATATTTGTGTTGATTTTCGAAAGATGAGACATTAGGTACTTTCATGAATAAAATCACAAAGGAGTGATTATCAGTACTGCTTTGGCCTGGTTAAGGAATTGAATGTGAAAGGAGGTGTGGTGAGATACATTGAAAAAGAGTGGCAAAAATTAATATATATATATGTGTGTATATATATATATATATATATATATGAATTGGAACTTAGATTTATGTTTCATACCAAATACAAATAAATTCTGGGTTGAAAAAATAGGTATTGGAGAAGATAGAAGCCAGTATATGATGTTGAGGAGGGAAAATTTATGGGGTAAGTGCTTATTCAAGAAGTTAGAAAAGAGGGAAAAAAAAGTTTCAGCTGAGAAATATAGGACAGAAAAAGAAGAACAGAAATTCATGAGACCACAATAAAGTAGTACAGTTTAATGGAATCAAAAACTTTTTTTTTTGGAAATGTTAATAGATACATTTTTGGTAAATTTTTTATGAGAAAATAAAGTACAAAAAAGTGTTGCAAATGAAGATAGTGAAATTAAAAACATCATTACAATCTGAAAAAAAATTATCGTAATAACTTTAATAACTAGTTTAAATATAAATTTCTAAACTAGCTTCCAGTAAATTACTTAGTAGACTTATAACCAAGTAAATTCAGCCTTGTTAATGCAAAAAAATTTTTCCTATTCTCTTTTTAAAAAAAAATGTACCAGGAAAATAAATTACATATTCCTTCAGAAAAAATTTACAGATAGGAGTCTTCCCAGTTCATTTCATGTGGCCATTATAATCTTAGATCTGATATTCATCTTAATTATAATAAATATTGAAAATGAATATGAAATATATCATAATAAATGCTTAAAATGATAAAAGAACCAAGAGTAGTATAAAGAAATTACACACATTTCTATTTTTAAACATAGTTGCAAGGAGCCTAAGAAAATGTTTGTAAATTATATCTAACAATAATTAAGTAAAATAGCATGACCAATTTCATTTATTTCAGGAAAGTAAACTTTTAATATCAAGGATTCATTTAAATTCGTTCAAGAAGGAACAAGCTATATGATGACCTCAAACATATAGAAAAAGTTTAAAATTCAATACCAATTTATGATAAAAACAAATCACTTAGAAGTTTTCAGAACCTGTAAAGGGATATACATATGTGAAAGTACTTTCAAGAAACATCATTTTTTAATTTTTATTTTTTATTTATATATGACAGCAGAATGCATTACAATTTTTATTACACATATAGTGCACAATTTTTCATATCTCTGGTTGTATACATAGTATATTCACACCAATTCGTGTCTTCATATCTGTACTTTGGATAATAATGATCATCACATTCTACCATCATTAATTACCCTATGCCCTCTCCCTTCCCTTCCAACCCTTCTCCCCTATGTAGAGTTCATCTATTCCTCCCATGCTCCCTCTCTCTAAAGAAACATCATGTTTTATGGCAAAACTTTAAAGGCAGTCTCTTTAAAGTTAAGAAAAATTTTCATTTTCAGAAACAATTTTAATTTTATTTATTTATTTATTTTAAATTTTATTTAGAGACAGAGTCTTGCTGAGTTGCTTAAAGCCTCGCTAAATGGCTGAGGATAGCTTTGAACTCACAATCCTCCTGCCTCAGCTTCCAGAGCTGCTGGTATTAATAAGCATGCACTACAGTGCCTGGCTAACAATTTTTATTTTAATGAATCACAAAAATCTTTGCATATGGTGAATCATTGAAGACTTAGCATTTTCTAAAAGCTTACTTATGAGTGAATGCAAAACAATTGAATCTTTACAGTATTCCTTTTTTATCTTCTGAAGAGTATTATTTTTACTCATCATAATTCTTTAAATTTTAAAGCAGGATGGGACATATTGCTTAATATTTAAACTTAAAGCATGTTTTTGTTTACTTTTATGGGTTAGAGATAGTGTCTGTGGATTATTTTATCCAGTAGTTTGTGTTATATCATTGTGAATAATGTATTATTCCTCCAATTTAAACTATTTATAACCTCTGCTCGTTTAATGTCTTTATAATACACATCAAGTCTAGATAAAGAATCATATTAATTTTGTGTAATTTAAGTTATACTCTGAGGGATATAGTCAGTATGTGTGAGCTCTGAATAAAAAGTACCAGTGCATTATGTTCATGTTGAGGACATAAGCTTGCGTGATCAAACACAAACATATTCACTAACGCACAGATGCTCACACATATACACAAGATACATTGTGTTGTTTTAATGTTAGTTACATAGTTGCAGTGAAATTTAGCTCATATCATCAAGTAATAGAAAAAAATAATCCAAAGAAATATTGCAAGAGATTGTTACCCAGTCTATAAAAATATAAGGCACAATACAGAAAGAAAGAACATAAAATATTATTGGAACATTTTAATATTTTATTTTCAGTGAAAGTATATGTCATGCTCCATCAAAAGAGTCCACATGTGCTATGTGTAACCCAAGGACTGCGAAATTCCGAACTGATAGATCCATCATTCCAATGGCATGGGCCGAAAGGAAAAATTGTTTCAGGTAGGATTTTATTTCAACTATCATAATTAAAAAGATGAATCTGAAATGTACTCAGAGCTAAAAAAAACAATACTCATATCTCACCTATTTATCTATTTCTTCAATTATTTTTCTTGTAATTTATTTCTGGATAGGTCTACCATTAGATGGTGTTACTATATTTTACTTTTCTTTATTCTACATAGACATACCAGAAGATTGAGGTATTTGGAGAGTTCTCTAAGCATCTCTGTTCCAAAAAACATTGTTTCTTCATATACAAATTAATTTATATATCTGACTTCCTTACCATTTTATCTATTCACCTTCATATTTTAGTTTAAATGCATATTTTAATTTTATTTTAAATTTCTAATTTGATAAAAGCTTATATATTTTTATATATATAAATTATATATATATAAATTACTTTAGATTTTTTTAAAGAGAGAGAGAATTTTTAAATATTTATTTATTTATTTAGTTTTTTCGGTGGACACAACATCTTTATTTTATTTTTATGTGGTGCTAAGGATCGAACTCAGCACGCCGTGCATGCCAGGTGAGCGTACTACCGCTTGAGCCACATCCCCAGCCCTAGATGGTTTTATTTATTATTTTGCTGGTAGTATGGACTAATGAATTTCATACTAAAGATGTGTTTGATGAAGTACCTAATCATTTTTACATATCCTCAGAGGAAAGGTGTTTTTTTAAATTAGTTTCCTTTTCTTTCCTTTAAAAAACCATTTATAGATGAGAGATAATACCTGTGGATTAAAATCTGCAAGATTAGATTACTTATCATAGATGAAGGAAAGTATAATTATTCACAGTCTTCCTAAAGAGGCTTTTGTAGGAAATATTTATTTTGTAACATGTTTTAATTTATATTTTTATGTAATTGAGGGATGTTCATTTTCATAATACTAATGTTCATCCTAAATAGTTCAAACTTTAAAGAATTAATCTCTTTAGGGGAGGTGTTTTTGGTTCTTTGAAAGTGCGTTATCTACTATCCTGTAGTCAGTGACTATGTGGTAGATGCCATTGTGCTGGGTTTTGTGGGAGATAAAAATATCAGATATAACTTCTGCCTCATTACAGTAACATACAAGGAACAGTTGTACCATGTATTCACGGAATCGGAAGAAGTCAGTAAAAGAAATTCTAAGAGTTTTGGTAGCGGTAACTTATTTAAATCAGTGAAATGGTTCAAGTGTAAAACCACTTGATACTGAAAATATAATCACATTTTGTTTTTGTTGTTCCCTAATAGCAGCATATAATATAAAATTATAATTTAAATACATTCTATATTTGGTATTGAAACTGTTAAGTTGAAAAGTAGAAGCATTTAAATGTGAATTTTTCTGTTGTGTTTGTTGGTTCTTTGATTTGGAAATTGAAATTTGAAACATTTTCTTCTCTAAGTTGCCAGGTTTTGTTTGCAGTTTATACCACAAAGTATAGTATGTAATTCAATTTATCCTTTAGGAGTAAGCAGTATTTTATTTAACTTTGTGGTTATTTCCAGGTAAGGATAAAATCACATCAATACAGTGTTTTTTATGTATATAAAAACTATTGTCATTGAATTCTTATATTCTAATTTGGTGATTGTGACATCTTATAGTTCATTGTCTACCAGGTTTTAAAGTTTATTAATCATACGGTCACTTTTATTTCAGAAAGAACAGCTAAAGCTTTAATTTTCTTACAGTTTGTAAAGGAGAAAAGCACCTTTGGACTGTAGCTTAAAGTATACTGCACTTTAGTTATTTACTCAATATTCTAAAGATAGTTAGACTAAAATTGAACCAAAGAAATTATATGATTATGTAATTAGTTGTATATTCCTTTGGGAAAAATATTCAATTGTTTAGATATGTTGTGAAATGTGGGGGACGATTCTTAGATTTGGTCAATCTGTCTCTTATTCATGTATTCATTTACAAAATAATGCATATCTTGTGAAAAGTTCTGTACTTCTCACTCTAACCCTGATAGTCCTCTGATGAGTTATCTCTTTTTGATGTGTCAACTTTCCCACTTTTCTAAATGCTTACACAAATGTATATAAGCACACACACACATTCATGTGTTTGGTTTCCCCTATAACCTACCCTTACCATGTTTAAGAATAATATAGACTATACTTATTATATTTTAATTTTATATTTTGAAATATCTTACATATACAAATGTTTATAAGATATATGGAAGTTTTGAAGCACAGTAACACAAACATCCTTTAACCTGCTGTTAAAATTTAAGATACACTATTAGCAAGACTGTTGGACTTCCCAGTAAGTTGCTTTAAAATCTCTTTCCTGAATCTTCAAACCCCACCTCCTCCAGGCAAACATTTTCCTGAATACTTAACAGATTTTTTTCTTTTCCTTTTCTTTGTACATTTACCATGTAAGTTTATATATATGTACATTCTTTTATGTATGTTTTCTAAAAGTGTATATTTTGGCTTAGTTTGTGAATTTTTTTTTCACATTTTTCTTTTCCCTCCTCTGACAGTGTTCTTATGAATGATGAATAACAAATTTATATATTTAAGATGTACATGTGACATATTGATACAGGTAGACATAAATAATTGCTACATTTGTGTTACTAACGTATAGATTATTTCATATGATTGCCTTTTTCTCATGAGAACACTTAAGAATTATACTTTATTAGCAGAATTCAAGTATACAGTACATTATTGTGAACTATTAGTACATTATTGTGAACTATAGTCATGATGATATATGTCATTTCCAAAAATTATTTATCTTCTAATTGATAATTCATGCCCTTGTACCAACAGCTGGCAGTTTACCCCATCTCTATCCCCTAATAATAACTTTTTTCTGTTTATATAGTTTGGCTTTTTTAGATTCCATGTATAAGTAACATCATGCATATATGTCTTTCGGTGTCTGGCTTATTCACTTAACGGTGAATTTTATAAATATAATAATATGTATATAAGAGTTACTATGTATGAGATAGTATTCTAAACAATTTACACATTCTTTATTTAATTTTCACAATAACCTTTTCCAGTAAGTACAGCAATATTTTCCATTTATATATTGGAAAGAAAAGGCATTGGTTGAATAAGGTATATTTCTGAAGTCGAAAGTGATTGCAGTCTGACTTACAGAGTTTATAGATACAGTCTCAATGAGGAATAAATAGGATTATCACCAGTGTATGAATTTTGGTAGTTTGCAACTTTCAAGGAATTTGTCCAGCTTGTTGGATTTTTCATCTTGTCAATTTTATGTGTACAAAATTGTAGTAAAAAAGTAGTTGTAATATATTCCTATCTTTTAAATATATTCAGGTTCTATGGCAGTGTGGCCCTATTCCTTCCTGATTGATTGTTGATTCTGTCCTCTTTGTTTTTGTTCTTTCTGGCTACATGTTCAAAAATATATCATCTTTTTGAAGGATTGGCTTTGGGTTTCATTGACTTTCTCTTATTATTTTTCTGTTTTCAAACTATTGATTTGTTTTACCCATATTATTTCCTTTGTGTCTAATTTGCATGTCTTTTTCTTTTGCTGGTGGTAGAATTCTGGATTGGCAGTTTTTTTTTCTTTCAACATTCTAAAGATGACACTTATTTTTACTAGCATAATTTCTAATGAGAAATCTGCTGTGTTTCTTTGTCTTTCTGTGATTGATGTATAATATTTTTTCTAATACCATTGGCTTTTCATTTTTGGCAATTTGATTCTATTTTTTTTTCTTTGTGGTATTGGTGATTAAACCTAATCATCACTGAGCTACATCCCAGCTCTTTTTATTATTTTGTTTTTATTATTATTTTTTTCTTTTTGGATTTTTTTCAAACTTTAAGCCTTTATTTAGTAATTCAATGTCAAAATACAAACAACAACAACAAAACAACAACAACAACAACAAAAAACACAGAATTCTTTATTTTGGCCGTTTCTAAATTGTCATCTCTTACACTATTGCTTCTGCCATTATTTTTCTCTTCTCCTTCTGAGATTTCACTCATGCCTTTTTTTTAAAAAAAGAATTTATTTGTTTTTAGTTATACATGACAGTAGAATGCATTTATGCACTTTGATATATCATATTGTTTTATTTTGAGACAGTGTCTTGTTATGTGGCTTATGGCATTACTGAGTTGTTGTGGCTGGCCTCAAACTTGAAATCCTCCTTTCTTAGCTTCCTGAGTTACTGGTATTATAGGCATGCACCACCATGCCCAGTGATTTGATTCTTTTGTGTATATTTTTGTTTGGTTGTTATATTTTTCTGCATGTGTTTTCTGAGCTTTTTGGATCTGTAGTTTGACATCATTAGTTTTTGAAAATTCTGAACTGTTGTGTCTTCAAATACCTTTGGCCCCATTCTGTGCCACCACATCTTCTATAATTCCCTGATATTCTATCACACTTACACAACCCTTTCTAATATAGTACTGTAGATTCCATATTTTCTTTTCCTTGTGTTTCAATAAACACTTTGAATAAGTGTATAGTTTTAGTATTTCAATTAATCATTTCTGTACTTTGAATTTCTCTTCTAAAATTACTTAACTGATATTATATATTGTCTCTGTTTTCCAGTATATCTTTTGTCACATTAATTATTTTAAATTAATCATCAATAATTTTTATACCTATGCCATGAAAAAGTCTTGTCCTTAGCATTGCTTGTTATCTTGTGAATGTGCCAATTTTTTTGCCTTTTCATATGACAATTTTTATTGAAGTTGGACATTTTGACTAGGAAAGTAGATATTTTTCTGCTTTGAGATAATCATCCTTTAATGTTAGGGATGTGTTAATTTAGTAAAAAGTTTTCGGACTTTGATATTGATTGTTGCCATGACTATATTCAGTGCATTGAAATCTTCAAATACCCTTAAAATGTTTAAGGTATAGTTGGATTCATTAGAATTTTTTTCCAGTGTGTAATCTTTCCTTGGATTTCTTATTTTGGACAGTTGCCCAGAAAGTCCTTCTTGCAGCCCTGCC